CTTTGGAGTGCTGTTGTCTTGCGTAGTTTGCTCCCTTAGTCGGCTCTTACGACACCCACGGGATAAATAGGGGTGGTGATTTTCCATATTCTTAATCCGTCACCACTCGGATTATATACTGTATATTAGAATATGTATATAAATGTTCACTTTCAAGTTTATGTAGGTAGATATGATTCCCGTGGGAACATCACATTCTCATGTAAAAATTCGTAACGTATGGCCGATATTACACATAGGTACGTGAGTATCTAGCTTTCACCTGACATTTTGTTCCTCGTGCTAGTCGATTATATCAGGTAGTTCTTATTTTCCGGGTCAATAAATTCTTTTGTGTTGGATAAGGGAACCGCATTCCTCAATAAATTTCTCTCGGTACCTGTCAGGCAGTATTTGTAAAGGCACATTTATTTTGTGCTAGATAGCCTGGCGATCGATTACCGTCCCTTAATTTTACTGTGCTGTTTTATTTGTTGACCAGTTTAAGTTGAACCGTCGTTGTAGGCTTTTGTACCATAGGACCCATATATATACCGTAGCCCTAGAGTTTAATGTGGCCGTTTATTACAATATTAATAACTTTATAAAAATTTTCCTCTTTATTGTTATTTTTTTTAAAGACAACTCCCGCACTAAGAATAAATCCTGTGTCGCGGGGGACTTTACAAACGTACATGAAACGGACTCAAAGAACACCCAGACTCAGAACAACAATTTGTGAATCACACAAAGTATCGTCCTATGTGGGGATCGGACCCACAGCACTCAGCGCAGTAGTGAGCGGCCGTGGCGACCGCATAAACCACTACGCCATCATCAACAACCTTTAATAGTCCACTGTTTGACATAAGCCTCTCCTTAGATAGGAGGTTTTGGCCAGTAGGCCAAAACCTCCTATCTAAGGAGAGGCTTGGTATAGTAATACCACGCTGGCCAGACGGGTTGGTATAGGGTTTGTGTCAAGATTTCCTTCTCTCTGCAGTGCTGGTGTTCTGCGTAGTTCTCCTCCCTTAGTCGCCTCTTACGACACCCACGGGATGAATAGGGGTGGTGACACTCTGTATTCTTAATCCGTCACCACACGGAACCTACGCCATCCGTTTTAGTCATATATTTCTAAATGTTAAGTTGGTTCGTGTACGCTTCAAAGATTCAAAATATTCTACACCGATTAAGCTCAATTTTGACACGATTCAAACACGTTTCAAAGATGAGTTTTGTCTATTTATTCCAACCACAATGAGCCACAGTGAAACGTGGCAGGGTACAGCTTATAAATTACAGGACCAAAAGATATGAATAACAGTTCGTGATGGTAATTTGGCATCAGCTACTGAATACACTCAATTTGTAGGACGTTAATATTATAGTTAGAACACCGTGCTTGTTAGAAAGTTTTCATGTCTTCCGTCAATAGCTTAATCAAGATGGTAGGATCTTTTAAGAGTACAACACACACTCTAATTGCTGTAGAGTTGTAACTCGTACGTATGTTAATATTGCGTTTGTACTATTAGTTCTAGTACAGAGATAAATACACATACATACAAAGTGGAATGCATATTATTTATAAAAAATATATATTTTCTTACACTCTTTTCTATGTAGAAAGATGATAAAACGAGAAGAAGATAGGGATGAGTAAATAATATTGTAGTAATACCTCAATTTTATATAAAAAAGTATTCCAGTTCACTTTATATATTAGACGTCAGTAGCAATCATCCGTCCGTGTGGTGACGGATTAAGAATACGGAGTGTCCACCAACCCTATTCATCCCGTGGGTGTCGTAAGAGGCGGACTAAGGGAGCTAACGTAGGACAACCAGCACTGCAAAGAGAAGGAAAACTTGACACAAACCCTATACCAACCCGTCTGGCCAGCGTCGGTATAGTAGGCCAAAACCTCCTTTCTAAGGAGAGGCCTATGTCCAGCAGTGGTCTATTAAAGGCTGTTGATGATAGCAATCATTCACTAATACGCACTCAAAACGATTTCTATCAATGAATGGATAAATAAAAAATTGATTTTAACTCTAAACCCAACTAAACGATATTTATTATGCAAAATTTCGTTTATGCAAGAAGGTATTGATTATGTTGTTACTAGAACACGTGAATCATGAGTTAATCAATGAACGCCGTGTAGTTTAGGAGTGCATAAAAAAAATGGACATGCACTTTGGTGCGGTATATTTATGCACTTACATCCATTCCAATCAATAAATCAAATACTTACTTAATATTAAAATGACGACCGGATGACAGTGGTTTGTGTAACGGACTGCTATTCCAAAGGTCGCGGGTTCGATTCCCGCTCAAGTCAAACATTTGTGTGCATGAACATTTAAAGTTTGATTTGGTCTGGGTGTTTCAATGTATAATATGTATGTATTTACAAAAAAAAAGTATATATTTATTTATATGAGTTGTCTAGTAGCCATAGTACAAGCTCTGCTTAGTTTGGGACTAGATTGCGTTGTGTGAATGTAGGAAAATATATTATATTATATTATTATAAATGTGAAAGTGTGTCTATCTGTTACTCCTCACGTTTAAACCGCTAACCGATTAAAAGAAAATTGGTATAGAGATAGTTTGAGTCCCGGGAAAGGACATAGGGTAATATACAAGAAATCATTCTTGAAGGGGATGAAAAGGGGGGGTGGAAGCTTGAGGAATCAAAATTGCTATGGAGATTGTTAAGTAGGTGCGTAGCAATAAGACAGCGGTCTGAATGCGAACTGATTTATTATTCGTCCCCGCGCCGGGACGCGATATACAATGTAGGTAGATACATAACACTTTTCCTCTTAAGAATAAACTAGCTATCTTATAATCATAAACAAGACCTTAAACCCAAAGAAATATTAAGTGAATGTAATTGAAACTTATAAGTAATTTCATAATTAGGTACCTATTGATTACAATCTTATTTATACATTTTCAGTCTTTCACGACATTTTTATAGCAGCTTCCCCTGCGCTTGTGGTTTATCAGTATTAGCGTTAGAAGACAACAGCGGCGCCGGCGATGGTCGGGCTTGTGCCCGCTCCTTCCTCCGCACTATCAAATGACTCCTTATACTCCTCCTCATCTGACTTAGTCGTCAAACCAGCCGTTGACTTGACATGTGAACTATCCACTATTTGGCTCAGTGAATGACGTGGTTTTCTAGCGAGTATTTGGTCAATGTGTCTCTTATACATATGACCGTCTCTTTTGTTGTAACGTTTATACGATACAGGACCAGTTCGTTCCTTTACCACGGCCTCAGTCCACTTATTGCCAGATTTGGAATAGTTACGCATCAGTATCGGTCCGTTTTGCTTCAACCACTCGCAACGGTACGTTACGGGCCCGCTGCTCCTCGGTAAGCTGACGCGCGCGCACACGCTCAGCGGCATCGGGACGCAGTAGGTCTAGTCGACCGCGCAGCCGTTCCTGCCCTAACAGAGCGACTGCAGGTTCGCATCCCGTTGTGCCCTGTTCGGTATTTCGGTACATAAATAAAAATCTGTTCAAGGCTTGTATTTATGTCCTCCCTCTCTAATTCTGCTTTTTAAGCACCCTTTTTAATAGTGCGCACGGCATTCTCCGCTGCGCCATTGCTGGAAGGGTGATATGGGGGTACCAGGTGTGTTTAATACCGTTGTTCTCTAAATATTGAGAAAATGCCGCCGATGTGAATGGCGGTCCATTGTCGCTAACAATGCGTTTTGGCAAACCGAAACGAGGAAAAATGGCTCCGCAAGCTGTCACAAACCGCAACTAGCTGAGGTCGATTTTGATTTTTTCTGCTTCTATCACATTTCGAATGCGCATCAATGATTATAAAGTAATAATGATTATTAAAAGGACCGAGGAAAATCTACATGAATGCGAGACCATGGTTCCGCCGGCCAAGGCCACGAGTGCAGCGGGGCGGCGGGGGGCGCTGGCGCATCTCCCTGCACGCTACACACTCGCGCGCAACCTCTTCTATGTCTCGATCGATATTTTCCCACCAAACGTAATTTCGTGCGATTTGTTTCATCTTGACTATGCCCGGATGACCTTCATGGATCTCTTTTAAGATGCAGTTTCGTAAGGTATTCGGGACTACAATTCGATAACCCCAGATTATACACCCCCTGGTTTATGTGTAAATTGTCCCTTTTATTATAATATTTTTTTTCAATATTATTGTACTCATAATTAGTTGGCCACCCAAACATAATAAATCCGTAGATCTTGTTTAGTATCGAATCCTTTTCCCGTTTCAGTTTTAATTTCATTAAAACTGATTGGAAAGTTTTCTTGCGCGTAATGCAGATAACTACCTTCTTCGTCTTCACCTCTTAATTGCTTTTTTGTCAATTCTAGAGGGAGACGTGAAAGCGTATCAGCGAAACAATTTTGTGTTGATCTTACAAACTGAATGGAAAAATCATATGCAGCCAACTTAACGGCATAACGTTGGAGTCTACTTGCAGCTGTTACTGGTAACCCTTTATTTTTACTAAAAATGTAACTCAAAGGGCGGTGGTCGCTCCGTAGTACAAAATGTCTCCCGTAAACATATTGATGGTGCTTAGTGACCCGAATACGATGGCGAGCGCCTCTTTGTCTATCTGGGAGTAGTTGGCCTCCGCGCTGTTGAGTGTGCGCGACGCGCAGCTGACGGGCCCGCTCAGCGCCGTTCCGCGTGCCGCTGCGTGAGCACCGCGCCGAGCCCGTATGCGCTGCTGTCCACTGACAAAATCAGCTCCAAGCTGGGATCGTAATGCGCGAGCACAGGGGAACTGCTTAATACATTTTTTATTTTATTAAAAGCCGTATTACAATCAACTGTCCATCTCCATTTCACATTTTTTTTTCAATAAATCATACATTGGTTTCAATATGTCACTCATATTCACACAAAATTTTGAATAAAAGTCACTAATCCTATAAAACTTTCAGTTGAGTAACATTAGTAGGTGGGGGCGCTGCTACAATGGCTTCAATTTTTTTTGAATCAGTGTGCAGCCCATACTTATTAATTTTGTATCCTAAATAGGTAACACTGTCCTTGAAAAACTGACACTTACTAAAGTTTATCCTCAATCCGTTCTCTTTGAGCCCTTTGTAACACCGCCTTTTAAATTTGCTAGGTGAGTGGGTTTGTCTCTTCCTGTCACGCAAATGTCATCAGCGAAGACCGCTGTCGAAGCCAAGCCATTTAGCGTTTCTTCCATAATTTTTTTGAAAATTTTCGGGTATGCATTTAATACCGAATGGAACGCGCTTATAAACAAATGTACCTACGTGAGTGGTAATGGCTGTCATCGCCTGCGAGTCTTCGTGTAAAAGACATTGTTGAAATGCATTAGACAAGTCTAATTTTGTGTATTGCTCACCCCCTCCCCAAAATCGCAAACAGGTCTTCGATACGCGGCAGCGGGTAATGATAGTCTTTAAAAGAGGATTGATTGTGACTTTGTAATCGCCGCATAATCTGATATTACCATTTGTTTTAATTACTGGGACAATAGGCGTACCGTAATCTGATCTTTCGACTTTGTATATGACGTCATCCCGCTGCAGCCGCTCGAGTTCCCTTTCAACTGGTTGCCGAAGCGCTAATGGTATTGGTCGCGCTTTTATAAACCTAGGTGACTCATCTTTAAGATATAATTTAAACTTTGACTTAAACGTACCTAAACCTTCTGCAAATACCTCAGGAAATTCCTTTCGCAAGGAAGTCGCCATCGAGTCTACTTCGGTTATATTGTAGCATTCCCCTATACCTAGCTTCAAATGTTTAATCCACGTTCGGCCCATCAGTGGAGGCCCTCCGTTTTCAATGATAAATAAATTTAATTTTGATTGCTTTTCACCATGTCTAACATTGACCACAATAAAACCAAGAGTCTCGATGACGTCCCCGGTATATGACTTCAGATTTATTTGCTTTTGTTCTATAGGAATATTCGGGAAATATCTATAATAATATTCTTTGGAAATAACAGATAACTTACTTCCCGTATCAATCTCAAATTTACATAGAATGTTCTCAACTTTTATTTTAGCGTAATATGGACCATCCCCGTTATTACTAACTACTAAATTATAAAAATTACAACCTTCATCCTCCGAGTCCGATCTGTTCAGAAAAAACTGATTTTTGTTTGAATATTTAGAACTTTTATTCTCACTTTTATTTTTCACACACACTGCTTTTAAATGGCCCCGTTGACCACACACATCACAGTTGTAATACTTAAACCGACACTTGCCATCCGTATGCCCTATTTTACCACACCGGGGGCAAGCGCGCTGCGGCCGGGGCGCGCCCGCCTGCGCCCTGGAGCCCCCGGCAGCGCCCGCGCCTATCCGGTGCAAGCCGTCGTCGTGCGGCGCCGCGCCTGCTGCGCCCGCCATGGACGCGTGGCGCTCTGCCGCCTCCAGTGCCTGAGACAGCTCCACGGCACGCTTGTAGTCCACATTCTTTTCCGCAAAGATCCTCGATCTCATGTCTTCATTGTACAAACCAGATACATATTGGTCGCGTAAGTTCTCCTCCAACTTATCCCCAAAATTACAACTTTTTGCCAGATGTTTTAAAGATTGTAGGTAGTCGCGAACACTTTCACCTTGACGTTGAGTTCGCTGCCTGAAAATGTGCCGTTCAGCAATTTCTGATCGTTCAGGTTCCACGTGATCTTTCACCAGTTTAACTAGTTCGGTAAATGTTTTTGATTCCGGTGTACTTGGCGAGCACAAGTCACACATTAACTCATAGCACTCCGCGCCTACTACCGTCACTAACGTAGCAACTTGAAGCGAATCACTAATGCTATTCAATGCTATAAACTGTTTCATTCTCCGAACATACGCGTCCCAATTGCTACTTTCAAAACTGTATGGTTCTATGTGTCCGATCGGCATTGTAATAATGTTATTTTCACAGATGCACGCGCGATAAATAACAGCTCGTCGCCAGTGTTAAGTAGGTGCGTAGCAATAAGACAGCGGTTGAATGCGAACTGATTTATTATTCGTCCCCGCGCCGGGACGCGATATACAATGTAGGTAGATACATAACAGAGACAGTTTGATTCTTGACTAAGGACATAGGCTTATATACTTTTTATTGCGATAACCGACGCACACGCGGGCGGAGCTGCCGGCAAAAGCTAGTTCTGATATATGGCTATTTCCATAATATAGTTCTATCGGTTTTACTTAACTAAATTTATCTTCTTGCTTTGTCCTGTTAAAAAACAATTACATTTTCAAGGAGGGTTGATATTTGCCAGGCAGCCAGCCGTAAAAAAATCAACCAAGACCCATCGCAATTTTAAACATTGCGTCGACGCCAAGAAACGAAAATACGAAGAAATCAGGAAGATACTGATAATAGTGTTTTTTATTAATAAAATAACTTAAATACGTAATAAAATTAGAAAAAAATACATGAAAATGGTGATGTTCATTACAACACCTTAATAAATTTAATTATATTGTAACGCTTCGTAATATATACTATTTTGGTATATTTTTTTAAAGTACATTAATTATTTCTAAATGATCCGTCTAATGGTAAATGTATCGGATAATGGACAAAATGGAGGAAATTCCCCGCCTGTGCTCTCGTATTAAAAGCCCGTGCGAAACCAATTTATTTCCCTCGATTACTGTCAGAATTTTCTCGTTAGAGGAAACTGAGCTATATACTTAGCAACGAGTTATTAAACGTCCAGATAAAATTTACGTCTTGTGATTGATTGAGTTTAATATTTATCTTGCTATCAACCCATAGGAGGGTTTCGTAAAAACAACAATATTGAATATAGTATGCCAGTTTAGGACTATCTAGTTTCTTAATATTTGTTTATACACAGTTAAAGGTGTCCCGTTTCCAAAGTATACTGTTTATATATTGTGATAGTACCTACATAAAATGCAGTCCGTTTTTTCTCTATTTTAAACTTAATGAGAAGGGGGTCCGTTATTTGATTGGTGCTAGTGTTCGTAAGAACTAATGGGTGCCTGAATTAGTTTGGTTATTTGAGTGTGTAATGTCGTCAAAAATATAAAATGCACTTTATGCTTATTATAATTAATGCAAGTTTCGTAAATAGTGAGGTATGTTTGTAATTAGTTAATTGATAATAATAATAATATATTTATTTGCTTCAAACATGTGTAGTTTACAGGAAATGAATCCTAAACAGTTCAATTGGTTAGTTTTTGTGTATCAACATGTTTTGCCATGGACGCCGTACAAATATAAATTGATTGAGATAGTAATTAAATTATTTTCATAAATAACACAATAATCATCAATACAATAATATCATTATATGGGCTAGGAATGTCAAAAATGTCAAAAATAAAATAGAATGTCAGAATTAAATGTCAAAATGAAAAAAAAAAACTTTAAAATGTATGTCAAGATAAATAGTTACAGCTAAAGAGAAAACCTTGTAAAAATAATAATATAATTAATTAAGAGTTATCGTTTAAGTAGTCGTGAATTGAGAACATAATGTCGATTAATAATAGACATTTTTCTTTCTTATGTAATTAAAACCATTTGGCATTACCAAGGACAGATGTCATTAGTTAGTCCGAGTCATTAACTTTGCATTTTCATGTATGATTTTAGTTCGTAATATGTCCCAGAACGTTACTAATTCTTGTCGTTAGTTTAATTTTAATATTCAAAGTTCGGTACAGCACATTTAATCCTTAATATCAAGGATCCCTAAAGATCTCTTAAAACTAAATGCGACTAATAAAACTAACAAAATAATGTGGTGTTTTAGAAGTGGTCGCACTCATTTCTTAAATGGGTTAATTCAAACTTAACCTCAAGCAAAAAGTTTTGAAACTTTCCATTACCCAAAAGATACTTAGTATTTTATTTATTGCCCTAAAGTTTGGTACCCATTAAAAAAAGGAAGAAAACTTGAAACATTATACCTATAAAGGTTCATGTCCAATACTCCTTCATTCTATGTCCTGTCGATAAACCTTGAACGTAACATCAATTTCTCATTTTATATATTTGATATGTCGTTACAGGAAATTGAAAAAAGACAATTCATATGAACAGTATGGATATTTCTTACGGATATACAGCACGTGTTTTGGGCGGGGTTGGGTGTGCTCCAAAAGGCCAAGATCGCCTGGAGCAGATCCAATCCTGGTACGCCCTCCTGTCCGGAGGGCGTACACGGCGAATGGTCATGGGGGAGAGCGCAACAGTCGTGTAGATCCCCATGGCAAGTCTGGGTGTCATCCTTCCCGTGGTTGCCGCCTGTTTAGTTGTCCTGGGTTAACAGAAACACCAACGCAATTCA